AGATATCTTTTCTTCTTGGTAGTTACTCTAGTAATTGCAATATAAATACTAATTTATTGTAATCTATTTCAGATTGATATTTAATTCTGGTAAAATATACAATTTTCCCCAATGCAGCTCTATTTTCTCCATTCCCATTTGTATATTGTTGTGTATATCTACAACCCAACAGAAAAGAATTAGAGTTGTTACTTTTAACAATATAAAATATTTAAAATAAATTAGGAAAAATAAGAAAAAAATGTATTCATAGAGTAATTCCTATTAGCCCATATTTTAAACATTTTTGGTGCTTTTCATTTCCTTCTGTAGGCCCAGGATGCCATCTGGTAGAGGTTTACTATAAGCTAAATAATCTCATTTATTATCATTTGTTGAGGAAGTTCTGTTAGAAACATAATATCTCATTTCACTGATATAAAAATATCTATTTTGTCTTAATTTTTGTAGTATAGTTTTGAAAGGTATGAAATATTTTAATTTTCTTTCCTTTCAGCATTATGAACACATCATTACCTTGCCTTGTTGTCCTTGTTATTTCTGATGAGAATTCAGCTTTTATTTGAAATCTGTTTTTAGAATGTGTTATTTTTATTTTCTCATTAAAATTTTTCTCTTTGACTTTGTAATTAAAACATTTTTAATCAGTGGGACTACTGGGTCTCTATTGACTGACTCTTGGGCTTGCTGAGCTTCTTGAATGTTCAGATTAATTTTTTCAACAACTTGAGATAATTTAGGTCACTCTTTTTTCAAATAATATTCCTATCCCTTTTTATTTCTTTCCTGTTTCTGGTATTGCTATCACACAACTGTCTCTGCGTGTGGGTCACATAGTCTTACTATTTGTATTATTCATAAGTTTTACTGAAACTGAACATATTAGATAATGTACAATAGAAACTCAAGATTATGATTTATCCTTCTAAAATTTATTTTGAATAATTTATTTAGTTGTTAGTTTTTAGTTTCTTTCACTACACTAAATCTTTTGAAACCTTGTTTTCTTATAATCTGTAGTTGCTGATGTGTCTGCTAAGAAAATACTCAGTTTTTATTTTGTAAGCCTAGCTTCTATGTTTTTCACCCTAGTCTTTGTAGTTTAGGAATCAGTCAATGATATGACCTAATTTTGTGCTCAAATAACTTAGCCTAAAAAGACTTCCATCTTCTGTAGGTCGACCTTTGTGTATGAGGAGGATGTGTGAAGTTTAGACCATTTGTATACCTACTCCAGCATTTGCTCTCTACTGGGATGTGTTGTGTCTTTTAAGGGCATGCATAGCCTTTTTATTCTCTGATATCCACATGTGACAACTCCATTCCAAACATACCTGCAAACTTAGGCCACCCTCCTTACTCTTGGTGAAGATCATCACTTCTACCTGCCAATCTCTGGGGATGGTAGCTGCCCATTACTCTAAATTGGGTAAGCTCTCTCCAGTAGCTTCCCTGCACTTGCTGATGCTCATGGCTTGCCCTGAACAGAACCTCAAATCCAACTGAAGCAGGGAGAGATGGAGATATTCCTAAGCAAGAACATCATAGACTCTCACTCTTCTTATCCAAAGTTAGGCAGTATTTCAAACATAAATGCTTCTAAGATTGGCATACCTGCTTGTTAATTCTCAGAGTGCTAACATGATTGTTTGCTTAACTTCATGGCTGCATTTGCTGCCCTCCTCACTCAGCCACCACTTGCAGCACTGCACCTCAATGGTATTTCATATATATTTACAAACTAATAAGAATAATTACAATAGAAAGTTATAGAGTCACTTTAATTATAAACATAAATGTCAAACTCTATAATATTATCCAAACCCAATGGCATATCAAAATATTATGACTAATTATGATTTCCCCTAAGCAAACAATTGTAGTTTAATTAATCAGAAAATCTATCCAGAAATTTATTATATTGATAGGAGAAATATCAGATTATTTTAATAGTTGCAGACAAGGCATTTTGTGTGGTAATGACCAATACAGATTTAGCAAACTAAGAACAGAAAGAGTTTCTGAAACTTTCTAAAATATATATAAAATATCCCTACTATAAATATTATAACTAATGGAGAAATTTTAGAGATGCTCTTCCCTTCAATATGAGGAGAGAGAGGTTAGTTTGATATTTATTATCATCGCTACTGTTTAACATTTCAAATCTAGATCCTTGCCAATTATATAAGGAAAAAGAGAAAATAAAGGAGCACTAATACTGAAAGAGAATGATAAACACCTGTTTTATGCTGATGTTGTTATCAACACTATATTCAATAAACCACCCAAATTAACAAGATACCACATAGTTGTCTAATATAAGATGAACCTCCTTAATCAATAGAATTTGTCTATATAAGTAGTATCCATATAGAAATATCATGAAAAAAAAATACTACTCAAAATATCAATGAAGTTGTAAATTTTGTAAATATTAACAAAAATATAAGAATTTTTGTGGAGACTATTTTGTAGATTTCCTAAAATACATAGAAATAATATGAATTAATGACAAACTATTCTATATTCTTGAGTTTGACAAGTTAGTATTATAAAAAGCCAATTTTACCTAAATTAATTTTTAATTTTTTGTATTGCTGAACATATTAATTTCCCAAATTCAAATTGAAGTTTTATGAACTCAGTAATTTTTCATTTCTTATATACATGGAAACTCTCTCTATATATGTATATGTTAGTCAAGTTTTAATTACAAGAACAAAGAAACAGGACTTTCCTTACTAGTTATTAAAGCAGTGAACCAACTTGAAAAAGAACGGAGAAGCTAAAAATACTCCTATACTCACACAAATTTAATGTCTTGTAACATTGGCAACCAGAATCATGAGAAATATTAAATGAACAAATTCATCAATTAAAAACTGAAAATCTCCACATAGACCAAACACACTGGAGATCAGAAATGCTGGATTCTGAATTGGTGTGGCAGAAATAGAAATTGTGAAAAGGAGTTCAGTTTGAGATATACTTTGAAGGCAGCACACCATTGTTGATGGAGTGGATATTAGAATTGGGAGGTGAGTATATTACATACTAGATGAAGAAGAAGAGATCAAGAATAAGGTGGAGAGAGAATGTCTATAGGTGGAACATTCTCGAACAAGTAGAGTGCTTCATTCTCAGAGATAGGGTCAGGGTTGATTTTTGGTGGGAGAAACCTAAGCAGAGAAAGTGAGTAGATTGTTCTCTTTTATAGTGGAGAGAAAAACACCAACAAAAACATAGTATAATTGCAAAAAATCATTTAATATCTAGACAAATTATTTGAAAGGCACACAGCCAAATATTAACCACCTTAGCTTATAAATAAGTGGTTTCTTTAAGTAGAAAACCAAATATTTACATGTTATTTATCTAGAGTTAAAAATTAAAACTCAGGAAAAATAATCATCAGAATTTTGTAATTTTATTTCTTAAAAAAACTTCTGTTTGATTGAAACTCAAAAATCATTTCTAGAGATATAAACATCTTACTAGTAATATTTTTAAAATAGATTTTTAAATAGATTTGTTAAGATTTGGAGTGGTGTGTGTGTGTGTGTGTGTGTGTGTGTGTGTGTGTGTGTGTTTGATTTTTGTCCTTTTCTTTTGTTTTATGATTTTTAAACACCCTGTGTTGATCATATATATAAATATGCAGATATATGTCAGGAAGAAGAGACTGGATCTTACATAGTGAACTCCCTCATATGACAAAGGCAGATTTAAATGTTGTTACTAACCATTTCTGGCTCCTACATATTTTTGTGCCATAAAACATATATAAACAGATAAAAAATTAATTAAAAAGACACATATCTCTTTTGTCACAGATAAAGGATTTACAGAGATTGACCAGTTGTGTGTTGGCTGTGTTATTGTTTTAAAAGTGAGACTAACTGAACCCAGGACAAGAAATTAATTGACCATGTTTACCATGGAGGTTGAGATTCTCAGACATCTCTGAGTAATACAGCCATGGAGGGAGGTAAGTTGGCTAGACTATGAATGTTTTAAGTAATTAGGTTGTACCTGCTCAGATTGCTTGTTTTAATTATGTGTCAGGGCCAAGAGAAGAGAAAGAAAAAAATTGAAGAAGCCACATAGGATATCTGGAGGTGATGTGAGTAGTTAGGATAGTTGGTGACAGGCCCCAGTTTTGCCAACTAATTGTGAGATGTCATAGTTCAAAAATTCCCACTGATATATGGTCCCACATCTTTTATTTTTAAATTTTATTTTATATTCTAAAACTAAAATGTTTGTATAAATAAAAATATAGACTTATCAACATGAAATGACAAGGTAGTAACCTAAATCTGTCTTTTCTTATTATTACTTAATCTTTTTTATCAGTGAATGCTTTATTAAAGCAAAATATTAACCTGAGTCTCAGTCTACAAAATAGATACAAATAATCAACCTTAGCTGATTAGGAGAATCTTGAAGGTATTCAAAAAGATATATAATAGAATCCAAAAGAAGAAAAAAGACAGGAAATAGAATGAGCCAAGTGCCTGCCAATACATGTTAAACACCGTGCAACTTTTTATATTCAATTTTTCATTTTAAATATGACTCATTTCACAGATTAAAAAAATAACAATAGTAACCAAAGATAAAGTGCCTAGGTTACATAGTAAGAATTTTGGAATTTGATCTTAGTTCCACAGCACCAGAAAGCTTCTCTCTGGAGGTAGTCAGGACAGGAGGTATGTGAAATGGTCCCGGAAGACACACACCACCTTGGCTTACTTCAACTCAGAGCACCTGTCAGTACCCAAAATGTTTTCAGGGAGTTGGGTCATGGGTTGGGCCTGGAGACAAGATGTACCAGATATTTAGCCCACCCCTGGACTAAGCCAGGGTCCCTCCCTTCCAAGTATTTGGCTTCACGACAGGTATAACCTGGTAATTAGGAAGTAAACAGATAGCTCTAATTAGGGTCAAACAGCACCCAAAAGCACATATAACAGGTTGACTCCTGATAGTCTCACCTCTGTTGGGGCAGTGGCTTTCACTAAATGCCCAGTTCTTTTCTGAGATTTTGCTTCTTTTTCCCTAGAAGAAAACAAGGAATAGCATCATTTAGACATTGCTTACCCAAATTTGAAGAATAAAAACTTACATGGTACACTTAAATCAAAATTACACTTAATTTTGATTGCTCTTCTCAGTTCAATCTTACATGTCAGAAGTGGAGATGTGTCCAGAAATAATTACAAAAGCACAAATGTGCCCTGAATGTTGAAAAAAATGTCTCAAATAGGGAATATTATATGCAAGAATCTCTGCCTTTGAATACATTGCTGATTGCCTCCCTAGAATACTTAAAACAGCCAGAAGTTCACCAACCATAAAAACCTATCTGTGTCATTATTTGAATGAAATCTTTGAAAGTCAATATTTACATTGAATCAAAAATCTAATTTTCTGTATTGATCCCAATTCTATTCCCTAGACCCTACAGAGCAAATCAACCTGGTCTGGGAATAATCGGAAGATAGTTTGAATACATTGCACCATCTCCTTTCCAGTTAAGATAACAAATTTATTCCAATACAATTTACATAAGTAATAAAAATAGTAATTGGAAAAGTTACTCCAAAGTGATCAACTTTCTTGCAAGTCTTAAGATATTTTATCTTTGTTTTACATTATTTTTAAGTTTATTATATTCAAAATTTTGGTCTCCTATTAAAATTCATAGTTTTAGTCTCCTATCTTGAATAAAAAAACAACTAAAAATATGTTTAAAAAATTAGAGGGCTGTGGGTCTAGCACAGAAGTAATGCAATGCCTTGGGATCAACTCCCAGACTGAAAAAATAATTCCAAAGTAAATCTTAAAAAAACAAAAATTAAAACACTTTGGTCAGAGGGTTTATAATTGATAAGTTGCTTCTACCTTTAGGGAATCACTGGAGAGAAGGGAATCAATTTCAGAAATACTGGACAGACACTGAAACATTGCATAATATCCTGGTCAGCTTCCAGGATACTAGTTCTTTCTGATATGTAGGGAGCTGTAAACTACAAGTAGCTCTTTGGTCCAACTCATTCCAGCATAATCCAAGAGGTCTGAAGACACTGGTAGCTCAGAGAATCTGGATGTATTCTGCTTATATCCTTCTGCTGCTTGATCCCCACAAGGAAAGCCTAGCATTCTATTCAAGGGAAACTTTAAGACCCCCACCCCAGTTCCACTACAACAGAATTAGGTCCAAGGAAACTGACTTCATTTCCTAAATTCTTTTTTCCCCAAATCAAAACCCAACTACTTTATCAGAAGGCTGTAGTTTGCTACATAAGATATCAATCAATATTGGGTCCTCTGAAATGCCTTTGGGATCCCATTTGAGTGATTATTAAAATCATTCTAGGTAGGTTGTAATTATCCAAGAGTTTTCTAAGCATTTTTATTTAGCCATTCAAGTTTAGAAAAATAATTTCCTCTAGTTCAGAGAATAGCATGTACCTCAAAAACTTGAAAGAAAGAGGAACTTTACTCACAGTATCATTTTGCATGTGACACATTTGTTGAAGAGCAATTTTCCTTGAGGGCTTTGAAAAAGTTTTTTATCCTTAGAACAGAACAATTTTCCATTTTTCATCAAGTCTTGAAATCCACTGCATGTTTCCTACAAAGAGGAAGCGGGGGTTGCATTGGCTGAAAATTTGTCAAAACAAAACTTTAAGAAAAACCTCCTTAGACAGTATAACTTAACAATTACTATCATTAAAACATTCAGTCAATTGCTTCAAATAACACAAACAAAAATCACAACTTGGGCTTTCCTGTTGAAGATAGAAAATTCATCTAAGAAGCATTTATCTGATACAGTTAGTGAAATAGGCAGAATAAGGGTCTGGGAGTTAAAAGAAAACTGAGCTAATATTTCATGGTTGTCATTTATTCAGTTATGCTATCTAAAATGAGGATGTTGGGTACAGTAGCACACGCCTGTAATTCCAGCAGCTTGGGAGGCTGAGGCAGGAAGATCATGAGTTCAAAGCCAACCTCAGCAACTCAGCAACACCCTCAGCAACTTAGTGAGATCTTGTCTCAAAATAAAAATAAAACAGGGGATACAAATATAAACATTTCATAGGTTGTAGGAAGATTAGATTTTGTGAATTTATGTAGTCTTTGAAGAATATCTGATACACAGAAAATATTCAATAAGTAAATTTTCTTTCATTATTATTAGTAATATTATTATGGTTCTGGTCATTATGATTATTGGAATATGCAAAGATTACTGTAAAGTTAACAAAGTTGGGCTGGGATTGTGGCTCAGTGGTAGACCACTTGCCTAGCATGTATGAGGTACTAGGTTTGATACTCA